CCCCCCCAAATGATTTATTTATAAAAAAAGGAGGGAGAAGAAATGTCAAGGAATGGGGGAATCTAAACTATTGGCAGGTTTGCTTAGTAGTTTAAACCTTTGAATACAAGGTTGCTGATCTGAAATGTGAAGCACCACCTAACTTACAATAAAATTTTATTTTAAAAGTTGTGAAGAAATGGAATGAAAGATTATGGCTATTTCTTTTTTTTTAATCATTTTAATAGGGGCTCATACAACTCTTATCACAATCCATACACACATCAATTGTGTAAAGCGCATTTGTACATTCATTGCCTTCATCATTCTCAAAACATTTCCTCTCCACTTAAGCCCCTGGCATTAGGTCCTCACTTTTCCCCTCTCTCCCTGCTCCCCCCTCCCTCATGAGTCCCTAATAGTTTATAAATTGTTATTTTGTCATATCTTGCCCTGTCCAATGTCTCCCTTCACCCACTTTTCTGTTGTCTGTCCCCCAGGGAGGAGGTCACATATAGTTCCTTGTAATCGGTTCCCTCTTTCCTAGATTATGGCTATTTCTCACGTACTTTTTGGGGTCCCCTGATATACAAGTCCATCGAATGTCGGTCATTGTTGTTATTAGGGATTGTAGAGTTAGTTCTGACTCATAGTTACTCGACTTACAACCCTCCAAAACACTGCCTGGTTCTGCACATCTTCACAGTTGTTGTATTTGAGCACACTGTTGCAGCCACTGTGCCAATCCATCCCGCTCAACTTCTACTTTACCAAGCATGACGGTCTTTTCCAGGGATTGGTCTCTCCTAGTAATGTAGGCAAACACTGGCTGTACTATACACTGTTGAATAGAAAAGTATTGATCTGAAATGTAACACCCACCCACCCAATCTATAGTAAAAAATTGTGGAAGAAGAAGAAAAAGGAATTTAGGGGAGTGAGAAGTGAAAGAATGATCCATTATTTGTAGCCTTATGTTTTCATTGAACTCTTTCCTTGTATTAAGTGTAGGGGAGACAAAGAGGCATCGTCTTAAGCATGGAGCTTGCCCTTAATAGTTTGGATGACAGGATGAGAGGAAGCATGTATAAGCAGCCATACATGTTAGGTGCCACCAGGCTGGTACCAAATCTTAGCAACCACATGCACAACAGAATAAAACACTGCCTGGCTCTGCACCATCCTCACAGCTTTTAAGTTCAGGCCCATTATTGGAGTCACTGTGACAACCTCTTTTATTGAGGGTCCTCCCTTTTTTTTGTTTTTGCCGATCCTCCATTTTATCAAGCATGAGATCATTTTCCAGGGACTGGTCCTTTCTGGTGGTCTAGTGGATATGTGTTGGGCTGCTAACTGCAAGATCGGCAGTTCAAAACCACCAGCTGCTCCTCAGAAGAAAGATGAGGCTTTCTACTGCCATAATGAGTTACAGTCTCAGAAATTCACAGGGACAGCTGTATTCTGCCCTATAGGGTCACCATAAGTCAGAAATGACTTGATGGCAGTGAGTTTCGCTTGGTTGGTCCTTTTGATAATAGGTCTACAGTACATGAGATGAAGTTTTACCACCCTTGCTTCTAAGGAACATTCTGGCTGTATTTCTAACAAGACAGATTTGTTTGAATCTTCTGACAGTCCATATTTTTTGTCAACACCATGATTCTAATGCAGCAATTCTTCTGTGGTCTTCATGACGTGTTGCTTAGACATATAAAAACTACATATTACAAAAATTTAACATGGATCCCTTTTAACTACAAAGGGAGAAAAATAAACATCCTACCCCCAGAAAACCCCAAAACAAACAAAACTATATATTACTACCTCTGTACCATCTCAAGAGTTCTTACAATAACCTTTGATATGAATAGTATCAGCCCCATTTTAAAGAGTAGATAACTCAGGTTCTGGATGGTGTAGGGACTTGCCCAAGGTCATATACACAGCAAAAAAGTGGCAGAGCTAAGCTAAGGATCCAAACCCCTTTTCTAACCCTCCAGCATATAGTTCGTGCTTGGAATGCAGCAGGGACTTTACCCAGGCTTTGAGAGCAAGATGACATTATCACAAGAAGAGTGGGGACTCCAGTCAGATCAAGAGGTCAGAAGCAATTCTGGAACAGTGAGTAGATCTGTTTGATGTCAGCAGAGTTTGAAGTGGGGGAGAATGTGGGAAAGGTAGAGGCCAAATTAAAACCATGGCCATGAGACGATTCCAACTCACAGTGCACCTATAGGATTGAGTAGAACTTCTCTCTAGGGTTTTCAAGACTCTCAATCCTTACAGGAGCAGAAAGCCTCATCTTTCTCACTTTGATCGGTTGGTGGCTTTGAACTGCTGACCTAGTGACTAACAGTCCAATGCTTAACCAACGGGGCCACTAGGACTCTTTAGAGGGCAGATTAGGGAGAGTTTTAAATGGCTAGCTAAGCCATGCAGACTAAGGGGCACTTGAATTAGAGGTCCAGAAGCATGCTGGTAAAACCAAACATTATTTTAGAAAACTCATCTGATATAGGTGCATAGAAAAAAAACACACTGGAGCTCTGAAAAAAGGAAGCCCATGACTAGTTAGGCCACAGACTAGAAATCATATAGGTGTGACAGGAAGCATGAGAGAAATAAAACAGAGTAAGGTCTGTGAGTCTAGGGATTGAAAACATTGGTTTAGCACTATGGCATTGCATTTGAAGGATGCGATAGTTTACACTAAGCACTGTAGGTACAGAAAGTAAAATGGCTTTGGAATCAAATAGACCTTGGCTCCCTTTTTACTTCTAGAAGATCTGTAACAATTTACTTATGAATTCTTGCTGAGTCTTTGATTGGTTAAATTGGGGCTAATAGCTCTTGCTGTAGAGGATGATTGTGAGGATAAAATGAGACATGACCGGACGGCGCATCGTTACAACTTTTGCAGAATGGTGAAATATATGGCATGCTGCCAAGACTCAAAAAAGACCCCCCAAAACCAAAAGAAAGGCAATAATTCTCTATACTTCAGTGTGAAGACAGATAACATGCTACCTACATCTCATATAAGGAAGGCCATGTTTCACAAGTCAGTTCTACCTTGTTTCAGGTATTAGGTAAATTGAGAGAGCCATCTTTGAGAATCTTTCTATTCTGTTAATGGTGGGGGATTATTCAGGATGATGTCCATAAGGGATACATGTTGGTTAATTCTTTGATAGTTCAGCCATTGCAATTGGTTCCATTGAACAGACAGTATTCTTTTGTGGTTTGTGGAACTCGGTTGTGAGATTTCTGCCTTTCAGTTGTGATAGTGCTTTTTTTATCCTTATCTGAGAGATTCAATTTCATTTCCCTCGAAGCTTTTGTGAAGTGTGGTTTTCACTACTAAAAGCAAAAGCAGCCACAGGGTTGGTTGATAACGCCACCAATTCAGAGCTGGGCTGGCTTTTCTAGGATTCTCTCCCGAATCTTTCCAGAGTGTGCTTTTGAAGTTCGAAATTCCTTGTCCCAGGGAACACCCCGCAGCCCTCAGATGAAAGGGGCGCCGGGGCGTGGCATTTTCTTGTGTTTGCATGACTTCAAGTTAGTCCTTTTCTGCACGACGCGCGCCGCTGGACGCCTTGCTTGCCCGTGGCACGGAGGCGACTGTTTTCCTTAAAAAGGGGGCTTGGAGAGGTTAGTTTCGTTTCGGATTCGGGGTGAAGTAAATACACCAAGTATAGTTTACGAGGCAAACCGCAAGGGACTCCCCAAGCCTCTATCTCCTTTCCTCCGAGATAGCCGGAAAGGCTGCATTTTTCCTTTCTTCCTTCTCTTTGCTATCACCACCCACTTGCAGCCCCAGGCTGGCTCCGCGAGGAATGTACAAGCCGAGTTGGCTCCGCTGAGTGATGGGTCCCCGGGGCCAATCAGCGGGAGCGCAGGCACTGCCGGCCCCGCCCCTGACGCTCGCTCTTTGGCTGATCCCGGAGGGAGGGAGGAGCGACGCGGCCGGGGGCGGGAGGCACCTGGGACGGCGAGTGATGTCAGCGCCCGGCTGGGTGTCCGCTCGGGCTCCTGACGCGGTGTAGGGAGAGGCGGCGGGCACGGCTGGAGCGGGACGGGGCCGGGATCGGGCTTGGGGAGCGCGCGGCCCGGCCGGTGGCGGGACTTGGAACGCCCAGCGCCGGCGACCCAGAACTTTGGGAAGTAGCGCCGGCAGCTCCCACCCTCAGGTAAGGAAGGGGCTTCGGCAGCGCTGCGCTCCGAGGGGACGGGGCACCGTTGTGCGGTCGCTGCGGGCTGTGGCGGATGCTCCGCCTCCTCTTCCCTGGGCCGAGTGCCTGTCCCACTCCCGCTTCCCTCTGGGAAAGAGCACTCTTCAGGGAGGACGGAGGGAACAGCTCACGGGACTGAGAACCAGGGTACGTGTGGAAAATGTCTCCAGGAGCGGCCACCGAAAGTCTCTCCTGGGTCTTGAGACCCCCTGCCCCTGATCGATCGATATCCCTGGTCTTCCAATAACACCCGAGAACCGAGTCACAGGAGTGTGGGGGGTGGGGCTGGTGGGGTGAGTGGGCCGAAGGTTATTTGAAAAATGCCACAACAATTTATGAATCAGTCACTCCAAAGGGATTCTTTTTTGAGAGAGAGAGAGAGAGAGAGACAGAGAAATAGAAGTTTTGTACACGTGTAGTTCCCCTGTGGTCTATTACACAGTGATTTAAATGAATTCATGTCCACGTGTAAAAATCCACTTATTCAGCCCAGGCAGAAAATGAGAAATTCACTGGGGACGTATTAATTATGAATGATGGGAAAACCGGTCTCTTGGGGGCACACTTCTTAAACGCCACCTCTTCAGATCTTGGTGACTCTTCATTTTAGCCGAGAATCCCCCTCAGCTGCCAATTTTGTGGTCCGAGTGGGCTAGGGAGGCGGCCGAGGGGCTCTGGGCTGTTTGCTGGGACTAACTGGGGCCGAAATAGGACTGACTAGTTAAGCTTTCGGGGGTCCTCTGGAGAGAAGGTGGTTTTCACAGGGAAATGTGCTGGAAGGCGTGGCATACAAACTCTTCATTAGAGCAGTGTGAATTTTCCAACATGTTGGACCAAAACAAATCCTTCCTTTCAGTAAGGATTGCAAACAGTAACAGAAAAAGAACTTGATGTGAAAGTCCAGGTTTGGTATTTAAGGAAACCAGTGGCCCGTCTAAAGGACAAATAGACTTTTTTGAGAAAAGGAAGGATATAATACTGATTCTTTTGCATTTCCTATTTCACACTCTTCCATTTTCCTATTTGGAGGTTTTGTGTGTTCAGGTCACTAAATGCTTGTGATTGGCTTTCTGGGGGAAAGAAAAAACAACCCCACCACAAAAGCACAGTTAGCCTCACCCGCTGATTCAGAAGCTTTACCCAGTCAGTGCTAAAGGCCCTTTTTGTACCTGGAGCAGGGGGCTGAGACTTCTGTCTGGGCACTTCCTGGCAGAGGTGATTTGGGTGTGGGCTTCATTGTGAGTTAAAAGCTGCATGCCAGGGGCCTGAATGTAAGGCATTTCCAGGACATGGGGCCCGGAAAGAAGTCACAACATTGCGTCTCTTAAGCCCACAGTGGACGGCTTTGGGGCTTTCTGAACTAGGAAGAAGTGTTTCTGTTTTACAGCTGTTTATAAACTACCTGACTCTGTATTGTTCTATAGTTACTGGAAAAAAAATTAAATAAAAAAAATAGAAATAAAATAGCTAAACATCATCAAAGAGTATGCTTTTTGAAGACAAGACATACTTTCCTGCAAAGAGTAGAACATTTTAATTTTGTTTTATATTTCAGGCTAAGAACCAGAAATTACTAAAGGCTCTGAAATGATGCCAAAATGGCTCTGAAATGATCTATTTATGGTTCTATAGGAAGTGCAGGAAACACACTGTTTTCCATCGTAGTTTTGCTGTGGGAAAGCAGGTGGTAACCGCTGGCTATGGGCAAAGAGACACCTGATTGGTGGTGGTGCTATTATATCAGTTAGGGGCAGAGCAGACTGGCAGCCCTTTGTTCATGCTAGCTTGATGCCTAGATCGTGGCCAGAGCTGTGTCATGCCTAGGGCACGCACACACACACACACACACACACACACACACACACACAAGAATAAGGTGGTGTGGAATTCCTCTGGACTTCTGTGAGCTCACTCGAACTTTTGCTGATGTAGTTAGTGCTTAAACAATAACCCATGATATTGAGCGGTACTGCTGCTGCAAAAATCGGGCAGTCAAATAAAGGATATATTTGGTTATGCTCATGTACCCAACGAAGGCTTTCAAGTTCTTTTAAAGAAACTAACCCTAATTTAGGAGCCTGAAAATAGCAAAACTTTAAATCTCACTCACAGTGTGGGTATTATAGTGACTTTACATATTCAATGCCAAACAAGAAGCATCATGGTGGTGTGGCCTTCGAGTTGAGCTGCTAACCGCAAGGCCAGCGGTTCGAAACCACCACCCACTCCATGGGAGAAAGAGGAGGCATCCTACTCCCATAAAGATTTACAGTATCGGAAACCCACTGGGACAGTTCTGCTCTCCTATAGGGTCACTATGAGTTGGAATTGGCTTGATAGTAGTAAGTGAGAATATGAACCAATATTTCTCCTTTTGTGATTTGTGAAGCAGATGCGATCTAGTGAGAATAAAACTCAAAAGATGCTTGAGTTCTTGAGAAAGGTGGGATCGGATTTTGGCAAATTCCCTTTGGCTAGCTACTGTCATTTCCTGATAGCTGCTGTAAAAATTAGGATAATCTGGTCTTTATGGACAAATAGCAGCTTGAAATCTAGGACACAGTGTCGTTGTAAATCAATAGAGCCTAATTGCAAGGACGGCATAGGCATTGTAAAAGCCAAGTTTGGGGAGAGTTAGTTAGCGGTATGGTTTCTTCATCACTCTGTACTCGCAGGAGATAAAGCAAAGTCATTTTCTCCCCTTCAAATCTTTCTGTCTTTCATATTCATGAAATATTGGTGTTCTTCCAGTTTATTTAGGTGATGTGTATAATTTGTTATATTGAAAAGAACTTGGAGTTTTTTATCTTCTATTTTTAAAAGTACCCATGTCCCAAACATAACATTATTCTCAAGCTATTAACTGAAAGAAGACCTCATTGAGTTTTGTTTTGCTTTTTAAGAGAATATGTATTAAGTTTTTGAGGTAGTTAGTTTATTGTGCCAACCTGGCCGATAAACACGTGGGATTAACTGAAGTGCAGAGAGATAAATGGCTCAGTGGGCCTCGCTTTTCTAGTTTTCGGGTCTCTTGCTTCCTGATAGTTGGACGAGGGTGCAGCTGCCTTAGCC